TAATGCTTAGCTCAATGTCTTGCTTAGCATAAAATGCTCAATAAAGATTTTTCTATTGTTCGTTGGGGGTCTTAAATGCCAGCCACACCACTTAATAATGAGGGTGACCTTGGGTAAGTCATTCAACCTCTCTAAGCTTCTTTTTCCTCAACTGTAATCTGTATCTACTACATAGGGCAATAGTTGGATGATTAAGTGATACAGTCTATGTAAGCCATCTGACTCGGGCTCAACAGGTGTTAGTGATGATTATTCCTGTTATTATTTTTGTTTATTTATTTTGTAAATATTTATTAGATGTGTATTCCTTACCAGGCCCTTTACCTATGTTCTCAGTGAATCTTCAGAATGGCCTGGCGAGGAAGATAGTGTCTCATACTTTGCTACCTGCACCGTGCTACATTGTTGAATAACAGAGCCTCTAACAGAGCCTCGGTTCTAATCTAGGTTTGTGTGGTTGGCACCAAAACATGTTTTCTTTTCATTACTTCAACATACTTTTTTTTGAGATAAAATTCATGTAACATAAAATTCACCATTTTAACTAATGCGTACAATTCAGTACTTTTTAATTGGGTTGTCTTTTTGTTTTTGAGTTGTAAGAGTTATTTTTTAAAAACATATTTGAATATTAACCCCTTATCAGATATAGGATTTGCCATTATTTCTCTCATTTCATGGGTTGTCTTTCTTGATAGCATACTTGGGTGCACAAAAATCTTTAATTTCAATGAAATCCAGTGTATCTTTTTTTTAATTCTTTTGTTATTTGTGCTTTTGGTGTCATAGTTAAGAAACTGTTGCCTAACTGAAGGTCACAGAGATTTACACTTATGTTTCCCTCTAAGAGTTTTATATCTTACAGTTAGATCTTTGATCCATTTGAGTATTTGATGTGAGGTAGGGGTACAAATTCATTCTTTTGTATTTGAATATCTAATTATCCTGGCACCATTTGTTGAAAAGAATAATCTTTCTCCATTGAATGGTGTTGGCCCTCTTGCTGAAAATCGGTTGATCATAGATGAATGGGTTTCTTTCTTGACTCTCAATTCTATTCTTTATTGATCTATATGTCTGTCCTTATGCCAGTACCACACTGTTTTGATTACTGTAGCTATATAGTAGGTTTTAAAATTGGGAAATATGAGTCCTCCAGCTTTGTTTTGGCTATTTAGAGCCCCTTGCAATTCTATATGAATTTTAGAATCAGCTTGGTCATTTTCTGCAAAAAAGGTAGCTCGGATTTTGATAGGCGTTGTAGATCAATTTAGAGAGTGTCGCCACCTTAATAATAAGTCTAATCCATGAATGCAGGATGTTTTTCCATTTATTTAAGTCTTCTTTAACTTCTTTCAACAAAATATTTTACTTTTCTGTTTACAAGAATTGCTATTCCTTTGTTAAATTTGTTCATAAATATTTTATTCTTTTTGGTGTTATTGTGAATAGAATGGTTTTCTTAATATTTTTAGTTTGTCCTTTGCTAATGTATAGAAATGCAACAGACTTTTGTGCATTGGTCTTGTATCTTGTAACTTTGCTGAGCGCGTTTTTAGCTCTAATAGTTTTTGTGGATTCTTTTGGGTTTTCTATATAGAAGATCATGTCATCTGCAAATAGAAATAGGTTTACTTCTACTTTTGAAATCTAGATGCCTTTTATTTTTCTTGTCTAATTGTCCAGGTTAGAATCTCCAGTACAATGTTGAATAGAAGTAGTGGGAGTAGACATCTAGTCTTGTTTCTGTTCTTAGAGGGAAAACTGTCATTCTTTCACCATTAAGTATGATATCAGCTGTGGGTTTTTAATAGGTGCTCTTTATCAGATTGAGCAGTGCTCTTCTATTCCTAGTTTGTTGAGTGTTTTTACCAGGAAAGAGTTTTGGATGTATTCTACTTGGTTTTTACAAGTAGAAATCAGCAAAATCCTCTGTATGTGGCATGGTGTAATTATGTGAGATCAAGTTTTATAATAATTTTTATTCATAATTTAAAACTCATTATTTATAATAGGTTTTAATAATTCAGCTTTTCTTGACATTTTTAAAAAGAAGATTACAGATATATAGCTGAGTATCTTTAATCATGTGACCTTGGGCAAATCCTACTTCTGTGGTCCTCAGTTTCCTCACCTGTAAAATGGAGATGGTATAGTAATGTTTATTTCAAGGGGCTTTGGTGGATGAAGACAAGATGGGATTTTGTATGCAAATGTACTTTGCAAACAAAAACTGTATGCTTCTGTTGCTGCTCTTACCAGAGAAATTTTTTTAAATTGTGATATAACATGTATTTAATAAAGCACACAAGGTATGTAAAGGGAAGTGACCTTAAGAATAAAGGTAGATAAATTTGTATACACACATGTGAACACCACTAGATCTTGATATAGAACCTGTCCAGCACTCCGTAGAAGTCATTCTGCCTGGGCTATGCCACCCTCAGAGGTAACCACTATTCTGACTCCTATCACCATAGATTTGTTTTGCTTGGTTTTAAATTTTGTATAAATGGAATCATACAGGTTTTTGTGTCTGATTTCTTCCATTCAGCATAATATCTGTGATTCATTCAAGTTGTTGCATGAAATGATAGGTCATTCTTTTCCTGTGGTTTTTAATGAGCTCATACCAGTCACAGTTTGAAGAGGCTGTGCATTTGCCCAAGAGACTAGGAAAATGAAGGCCAGGGAAACCCAGGGTTTTCCAGTATGGAGCTGACGCACCCAGTGAACCTCTACCAAAGCAGGTGAATCCTCAGCCAGTATGATAGCTACATTGTCCAAATGTCACGACTTCCAATCTAGCACTCTAGACAGACATCACAAATCGATCTCAGCACATTTTAACAAGGAGTCCTGATGTAGCCTCAAAATTATTCTCAACCCAGCAATCCGAGTAACCCACACCAATTGATTGGGGTTAGTGCTCAAGATTGAATCTGAATGTTCTGTCATATCCCCAGAATGCTTTTCTGGGCTTCTAAAGTTATGACATGAGGGACTCTGCTAACATCAAAGTTTACCCCATAGCAATAGAAGATAGGTAGTGAGGCCGACAGTGTCTGCTTGTTCATATAGTCTTTCGGTCATGGCTCAAGCCCAGCAAGTGTTTTGCTACCTGTATGCCTGATTGCAGCATGACTTAGAAAAGAGGGGAGGGGCTGTTTTATCCATAAGGTGACTTGATTGAAGTCTCTTTGTTTTTATTTTTTATTTTGATAAAAACATTTCAATGTTTCAATTACAAAACAAACACAAGTGTGCCTTATATTTTCACAATTTATGCAGCTGTAAATTCTTGATACTTCTAGGATGTCTCTCACATTTGAAAAATTTCTTCCAACCTGGAAAGTTGGGTGAAATAAACTCTCCCATTCTCTGAGAATGGTCACCTGTATATTTACAGGATTGTGGCACATTACAACAAGAACAACAATCTGAGGCATCTTTTTATTCACATGTAGATCAAAGCCTGGGAAGGAGACAACACTCATGTGTGAAATAATAGAGAAAAAAGTCAGTTAAGCTGTCATTTATTTGAAACTCTGTTCCCAAGCAACTTCACATACTTGAAAGGTCCAAGAAGGAATGAAAAAGGTCTTTGAGAAGTCACTTGTTTTTTCCCCCTTTTTGATCCCCCACCCCCGGCCCCACCACTTCTACCCCTGACCTTCGGATGTTGTCATCTCCCCTTAAGAACTGGATCTCTCAAGGCAGGGCGTCTCCTCCCAAGCACTCGCAGCCCCCCAGGGCCTGGCACCCCTGGTACATTCAGGGGGCCTGGCACATGGTCTGTGGACCCACCTGGGGTGTGAACCCAGGACCTTCTGCGTGTAAAGCAGACGTGCTAACCACTACACTATGGAGCTACCCCCTCACTTTTTTCTTTATTGGTGATTGGAAGCAGGAAGTTAGAATAGTGGGCTTGGGGAAGGTTTGGCTACTAGATGCAGCCAATGTGCTAATGAGTGGAGAAATTATTCTTAATAGTAAAAGAGAAGGGAAAATAATGAAATATGGCTCCACAACCAGCTGAGCCTGTGTAATGCAGAAGGAAAAAAAATCCTCAATATTTCTGCTACTTTTGAAAGTTCTGGGTTTCCTCCTGGTTTAATTATTATTGTGCATAACGATGATGCAGAATACATAGGAATGAATATACGTTTTTGAGCACCTACTGTGCTAAGCCTATGCTAAGTAAGCACTTTACATTCCTTATTTTACATAAGCTTGAAGGTGGTCCTGTTATTATCTCCAGTTTACAGATTTGGAAAGAAAGGCACACAGAATAGGGTAAGTAACTTGCCCAAGTAGGTCTTCAAGGGGGGTTCTGAACCTTTGCAGTCATAACTTCAGTCCCAAGGCTATTAGCCTTTACTAGGTTTCGAAGAACCTGTTAGGTGAATAAAATGTAGAAAGGTTCTCCAAGTAGAGGGAACGGCGTATGTAGAGACGGGGCTAGTTAGTTAACCCAGTCACTTAATTTTTGTCTTGTTGATTATTCACCTACTAAATAGGAACGGTATTATCAGTCATAGGCTTATGAAAATTAAATGTGAATGCATATAACGCACTTTGCACGATGCCTGGATCAGCGAATGTGCATAATATTACTGTTTTTTAAAAATATTGCTATTTCTTTTTTGTCCTTCTTGCTCGATAGGGCAGAGTCTCAAGGAGACTACATTTCCCAGCATGCCAACTCGCCCTTTGACCTTATGTAGACCAAAAATACGCGCCACGGAGCGCCTCAAGCCGGAAGACTATAGCTTCCCGGCATGCCGTGTGCCTCCCTCCATTAGATTTGAGGCACAGCCAGCGCGTTGCTCACCGGGAATTGCAGTCAGCGGCGCGTTGCCCTGACGCCGGCCCGGCCGGGCGTGGGGGCCTGTGGGAGGTGGACC